CTTATAGACACAAATGGGCATCACAGAAATTACTGAAATTCCCAGCGTATCTCTTAAGCGTTGCCATTCTTGGCGACTAAAATATTATAATTTGACACCTTGTAATTTCTTTGCCATATTCCACTTTCTTACGTATTTGTTTTTATGGCTTATATTACATACTAGCCGTTTGCCGCGGTGTAGCCCGCTTCTAACTATGTAGTTTCCGTAAATATAGCATTCTCTTAGAACTCTTCATGAATCCGGTCGTATATTGTTTTATGTACTTAATAATTTAAATTAATTACGTTTATGTACTTAATAATTTAAATTAATCTAATACCTTCATATTATAGTTTCAGACAATTCAACAGTTCGGTTATTTTTTTTTTAGATAAATATAACTTTTTTATCTTTGATATGATTGAAATAAAAACAACACTAAATGTAAAGTGGAGCAAACTGCAATACCTTAGTGAAAACTGCATTCAAATCGGTTAAGCCGTTTCTGAGATTAGCGTGCACAAATGTATAGACAAACAGACAATTTTAAAAACCATTGTTTTGGGTTCTATCGCGTTCATAAAGTCTCCATATAATAGTTTTTCTTATATATCTTCCATGTACAGACAGCAAGCAGTTACGATTTTATTATATATATATTGATTGATTGATCGATTGATTTGATTGATTGATTGATTGATAGAAGTCAATATTAATATACATTTATACATCGTCGTTGTAGGTACGTATGCGAAACGTATGCTATTCTGGAGCAAACGTGGCTAACTAAAGGAAATGAACGTGCAAATCTCTGGGAAACCATACATTGTTCTCACATCCACGCGTTATTCATGCATCAATTTACATACAACTGGCAACAGCGTTGTTATTTTGCATAGGTATCCCACGTGCAGGGACATTGTATGATACCTATTTCAAATATTGGAAGCGAGTTACATATATATGATTGTGAGTTTGTTAGTTTGTATTCAACCAATTGCCATGAATTTGCTTGGCCACCTCTGTCCCATTCGTGTTTCAACCGTAAAGCAGTTGTGTTTGCATAGCTGTGTTTCGGTTTGAAGGGTAGGGTATGGCGTGAATTTACAGGGTACAGAGGAGTGACACCCGAGTCCTCAGGAAAGGCAACGCATGGGGGGTATCATTGACGAAACAGTATACTCTATTATGTCCATGGTACTGCTCATGTCTGTCACTTTACTGTTAATGGGGAAAAATAGTAAAAAAAACATTTGGTAACATGTGAACAGCCAAATATTTAAATAAAATCGATTGTAGGCGCCCAATACGATTTATAACCCCGGTATCAAATTTGAAACTTCAGGTATTTAAGAGTTAAAGAACCCTACGCTGTAGTCTCTTGGGAAAACCTCGGCAGGGAGCTATATTACTTTTTTCACGATTGAATCGGAAAAATGTCTTAATTTATTAATCGAATAGAATAATTCTTTCATTCTTAGTAATTTTGTAAATTTTTTGAACAAATATTGGTTCTTTTGATTTGAATAGGTCAGGTCATTGGTTGACCTTGTGTCCAAATAAATTGTTACATTGCCGTGAAATGCGAGCCTTCACGATGCCGAACACTGACTGGTGTATTGTTTAAACTATACAAAACTATGTCACTGGAATATTGGCAAATGAACAAATATCTCAGTTATACAGTTATCCTCTTTTGTGCATAACATATATAATTATTCTTTTATGTATGTACACGATATATTTGTTAAATTTTAACCGATTTTGACTATTGTTTTTCCAGTCGATAATACTACTGGTATATTAAATAAAAAATAAAATGATTAAATAAATTCGCCCCTTACTGGGCCGAATTTATACATATTTTTAAGAGTTTAAAATTTCGTTCATAAAAGTCCAAAAGTATAATATTTTAGGATTTTAAATATTTTTAAACGGTATGTATTATGCAATTTTAACTTTAAGTTCCTGTTTCGTTTGGCCTCGAAATTTCGGAAAACATTTCATGGTAGAATATCAGTTTAATTAGTACTGGCACATCAAATAATAACACCATGCTATAGACCATTAGTGTGACCTTGAAATGCAAACCTTTAAGACATCGTACGTTGGCTAACCTATTGTTTACGCTTACACTAAGTATATATGTATGTATGTCTCTGGAATATTGGCAAATGTGCAAATGCTCCTGTCATACAGTTGTTCGTAAATCATTTGCAGTTACTGCAGTATATTTATGTATATTTAATTCTAGTGATCCGTGCCGAGTTTACATGGGTATTATAATATATTTTCGAAAATAATATATAGCCTATACTACATGGCTGACAATGTAGCTTTATATAAGTGAAAGAGTTTTTCCATAACAAACAAACAAACAAATAATAAAAATTTTCCTCTTTATAATATTAGTGTAGATATACATCCCCTTATTTATTATTAATAAAATTAACACCTTCTACAAAACTTTTTTAACTATTATACAATTTTGACATGTTCTTTCGAATTAGGAATTTACTTTAAAAATAGAGAGAAAACAGTTTCATAGCTAAAATAGATTTATGGGAGATTTGACGTTTTAACGAATAAAAGAGTAAGTATTTGAGCAACCTCTGTTTACTCAAACCTTTTAAAAACTAAAACTAGAAAAAGATTGTGTTCACAACTATAACCTCTAATAGGGTAGTCAGAGGCATTTTTTTATGGATGATAATGGAATGGTAATCCCGCCTGTGCTAACGATACACGCTGGCGAGGCACCAGTGAGGGATGATATGTGATAATGAAAAGGCAGGTCAGTTAGCCCATACTAATGAATACACTTGGAGGGGAGAAAGGGATTGTTAGCAATGGAGTTCGACATTGCTAGCAATATGCCCTATCAGGTCGACCTCCACATGGTTCCCCCTGGAAACCATCGTCAACAATTCTTGTTGAATTCGTCACGATGGGCTAACTGACTTGCTTCATCCTCATCTATCATCCCTCACTGGTGCCCCGCCGGTGTATACCAATAGCGCGGGTGGGGTTACCATTCCATTATCACCCATTAAAAAAATACACTTGGAATTTAGCACGATGGTTTCCAGTGGGGACCACGAGAAGGTCGACCTGATAGGGTATATTGTTAGCAATGGGAATGACATTACTAACAGTTCCCTCCAGTCAGAGGCATTTGTCGGCCGTTACAATTGTAGTAAACGTAACACTAGAAATTACATCATATTTCATCGAATATGTTAACTAAGAAATAACGGCCTAATTCCATTTCTTGTCGGCGTTTACCAAATTTGGTACACAGGTGGACTAATGATAATCTACACGTATATTGTTTCTAACTGGAGTAGGCAGAAACAATAGAATACTAATCTGTTCAAAAACAGACATCTTCCGCTTCCTCAAACGTTTAACAGTAAGTACTCATCAATTCTTGTTCGTGGAGTGACTGATTGTTCATTCTAAAGACTCATCGGCAAGTACCTACTTACAATTTGGCCCTTTTCAGTTTTTTTTTATGCATGATAATGGACGGTAACCCCGCCTGCGCTATCGGTATACACGGGCGGCGATGATAGCAGACCAGTTAGCCCATCGTGGAGAATTTCACAAGAATTAACCATGATGGTTTCCAGGGGGAACCGCTTGGAGGTCGATCTGATAGGGGTATATTGCTAGCAATAGGGCTGTTAGGCCCCATTACTAACAATCCCTTTCTTCCCCGGCCTTTTTCAGTTGACCCTTATTCAATAAGTAGGTACAAGTATTAGCTTTAACCCGCAATATGCTATGCGTGACCGGGATATGTTTATTAACTGGGATAAAAACTAGCTTATATCCTTCTACATTCCATATCATCATATCAGCCTTTAACTGTCCACTGCTGAACATAAGCCTCCCCCTTGGGGGGTTTTACCAGTAGTTGCCACGCTTGGCAGGCGGATTGGCATTCGCAGTCAGGCATTAGAGATGTTTTAAGAGGGAAGCTGCTGCCTATTCCTCGCCTTCCCTAAGTCTTCCTAATAGAAAGGGTTACCTATTCCATACCGGGACCACACGGCTTACGTTCCATATAGTACGTGTATAATAAATTTTACATAGATTAGTTAATTTATTAAAGTGCTATGAAGTTACGAACAAACTCACTTTCACTTTTTCATAATATTAGCATATACAACTTAATAATTTAGCTCAATTTTTTTTATAGGGATTCATTTACATATTTTTTGCTCGCAATAATTAATAGGCTATTCATCCTCACACGCTTAAACCTAAATGGTCATGGACATGGCGGTTTCAAAGGAATTTTCTACCGCGAACGTTCAGGCTGTGGAATGAGCTCCCTGCCGAGGTTTTCCCTAGAGAGTTTCTTGAGGGTCTTTTTTTTAATGGGGGATAATGTAATAGTCACTCCTTCCGCGCTATCGGTATACACTGGCGGGTCACCAGTGAAAGATGATAGGTGAGGATGAAGCAGGTCAGTCCATTCGTGACAAATTCCACTAGAATTAAGCACGATGGTTTCCAGGGGAAACCGCGACCCTATCAGGTCGACCTCCACGCGGAGGTCTATTGAATACTAGCTTTACTAACATGGTATAACTATAATGGTGGGTACATACCTAAATCAATTCATTAATAACTAAAATATTATATATTTATCAATTAAAATATTATTTAACAAAAATAAAAAATGAAAAAAGATAATTTAAAAAAATGTAATGATTAATAATAATATGTGACAATTTAATAATATAAATAAATTTCTTTTCATGTAAAAAATGATATAAATAATTTCTTAACACTAGTCTCATTACGAATTAGATCCATCTTAGAGTATAATTGTTATTATAAAAACAAAGCAGTACCTTCATAAATTAATTATCCAGATTCGAAACTTGAGAAATATTTATTTAAAAATAGAACTGCCCAGAGACGAACCCGAGACCTCGTTTTAGCAAAATATAGTATGTTATCACTAAAGAAAAAAAAATACAGAAAAACTAATTGTAAGTACTTACGTTTTTTATTAAATTGATGTGTCGCGCCAACCTTCCGTTGATTCGGTCCAATACTGCTTAATTTCTTTAAACACGCATATCACGGTGTAATAAAAAATTGTTATTAAAAAAATCCTTGTCGCATATCTCAACGTTTCTGTCATCACATCACAAAAACAACAATCTATTATTTTTATTTTACATTTACACAAATTATAACGTACGCGGTATTTCTCACAATGCACACGCACACCAGTCTCGAACGGCTGTATTCATCGCACTGGCACTACGTTATTCAAATAGTGGCGGTAGCATACTGCGTCCGCGCATTGTCAATACTACACCCAATATAATGTGGCAATCAAAAATAAACCTTCGCGCTATCACGATAAGAGCACTATATGCTATCGTAAAATCGCAAAAGCTAGTCAAAGTTGGAGTGATTCATTGTTCACTCACAGCTGTCTGCGTCATTCATACATACCAATTTAAGCTAATTTCCACCTTATTGTAATATGATAAATCATTTTATTCAACGGAAATATAATTTGAACTTACCTTTTATTAGAATGGTAAATAAATGGGCATCATACTTTAAATTTGGACTATTAAGCTTCAATATAAAACATTTAAGCACATGTACATGTAGAGTAAATATGAGTTTAACGTTTTACCTGATTATGTATATTTTTTAAATGTTATTAATAAATTATGATTAATATAAAAATTTGTATGAGAATTGAGAGCAAGGAAAAAACGCTGGTTGTGTATTAAAAAGAAACAGATAAATTTATTAAAAAAAAATAATGAATATATACAAGAAATAAAAGAGTTTGTAAAATGTAAAATTTTTAAAAATAACACATTTACCTAACTTTATACTACACATTAATAGACTATTAACATGAAATTAATATACAAGAGACACAAAGTAGCGGGAAATAATTAGTATTAAATTGATACAATAACTTAATCACAGAATTATCTACAAATATCAATTTAGAAAACAAATGAAAAGCTATAATATATCTTTTAACATCTTCATAAAACTGGTATTAATAGTTAGTGGTTATGGTTTCTAACTCCGGAAATTGCATTCCGTTCTCGTTAAATTCGGTATTTAAAAAGGCTATCTTTAAATACCATACATACATTGTTTAAGAAAGAGGCATGTGTTTGAACACGGCCTATCAGTAGATTAGATACACGAAATAAAACTGAGAATGGCATACGAGTAAAGATTTATGGTTATAAATCTTTACTATTTATATTGTTGTATTCTCAGTAGAATACAAAAATGTAAAAAATAATACTTACACTGTGTAAGTGTTATTTTTTACGTTTTTGTATTCTAAGTAAGTTTCTTCTGTGTAAGTTACACATAACTATGTATTGATTATTATTATCTTTACCTGTTCTAAGCATGATGTATCGCATTCGTATTTAACTGTTCGTCCCAAGTTGGATTGGTAGAGAATGCTGCCAGTATTAGGCCTATTTTTTTAGGCAATAAAGTTAAGTAATATTAATTTAACATTGTGTTTCACAAAAAAAAACGGCTACAATTGCAGTTGAACCAGTTATTTTGTTTTAAAAACTAAACTACTGAACTGAATTTTGATAATATTTGAATTTTGAAAATTCTTTATATATATATATAAAGAATTTTCCAAATCGGTTTATAACTGATGGAGTTATGAGGTAATAAATATATATATATATATATATATATATATATATATATATATATATATATATATATATATATATATATATATATATATAACCGAATTGAGGACCTCTTCTTTTTTATAAATCCGTTGTGAATGAAAAAGTGCGTTAAAAATTTTTGGTATAAATTTTATTTAAAAAAGTTACTGCGAGACCAACACAAGAGTAAACTTTATCTCTACCAAACTTACATTACTTTACCAGAAGGATTCCTTTTTAAAAGGCCGGCAGCACACCTGCAATGTCTTTGGTGTTGCGGGTGATAATGGGCAGCGGTAGTCACTTACCATCAGCTCGTTTGCCCTCTGTGTTATAAAAAAAGGAGACTGTACAAAAATCGTCTGCTTGGATACATGTGATCTATTCGTGTATTTTTTGGTGAAGCAGCTATGTTTGCATGGTTGTGTTTCGTAATAAATTTACAGGACATATAGGCATAATAACTTAGCCCTCAGGATTGGCAGCACATGAAGAATACCACGGCCGACACAGTATACTCTTTATATTCATGATACTGTTCATGTCTATAGGTAACGATTACCATTTTTCATCAGGTGGACAGTCAGCTTGTTTGTCATTCTAAATTGAATAAAAAATATTACACAGTATAGTTATTTTTTTTTATGCAACTTAGAATGGCAAACCAGCTAACGGCCCACCTGGTATAAAGTGGTAACCGTCGCCTATAGACATGAGCAGTACCATGGACATAACCGAGTATACTGTTTCGCTTATGATACCCCCCATGCGTTGTCATTCCTAAGGACTCAGGTGTTATTCCTCCATACACAGTAAATTTACGCCATATCCCACCCTTCAAACCGAAACACAGCCATGCAAACACAACTGCTTTACGGTTGAAACACGAATGGGACAGAGGCACCCAATCAATCGCTTTTTGTACAAAGTCTCCCTCTGGTATTTTTATCTACTTTGTAGACAAAAATACTTTCAGGTTAGGTACCTCTAACTTTTCAAATTCGGTTGAATATATATAATAAGGGGAGCAGATACTTAATTAAAGAGGGCTATGTGACCTCGACCCAAGCAAAATTTGTTGTTATAAAAAAGATGTGAGTTCAGGGTTGCCACTTTTAAAATAAATATGTAAATCAGGTGTATTTTGTTCTTTATATATTTTTGGGTAAAAAGTATTCTAATATACGATATGGTTTACTCGTATGCCAAATTTCATTCAAATCCGTTTAAACGAATATACAAACATCTCTACAGACTTTCATATTTATATATTAACAAAAATAACACACTGACTCACCTTTCAGTGGTTGTGGGTTCGATCTACGTACAATAAAGTATTTGTAAACATAAGTATTGTATTTGTATTAGTTTGGTCAATAATAAATAGCCGCGAGCTAATATTGAGATAGATTTGACTTGAAAATAACTAGACAAAAATAATAGTACTGCATAATGTTACAAATTTTTTTTTCTGTGTTAGTCTTGTACTTTGTCAGTATTTATCTTTTAAGCTTGTTAAACGTTAAAATGACTACTTATTTATTAGTAAAAAGTTTGAAAAATGTTGCGTTGTTTTCATGTTCGTTTATGTTAAGCATAGTAAATAATTGCTTGTATCTCAAATAAAAAATAATCTTAAAATTATGTTCACGATTATTTCTTTATTCTTTTATTGATAATTTATCTGTGTGACAGCCCTACTGCTATCATACAACACGGAAGTATAAAAATCTAATTATGTGTTTACATACATTTTAAAGGCTTTATTACAATATAAAATGAAGGAACTCATGCTACTGGGTATTTTTTTTTATCTTTTAGTTGCCAGTCTTCCTCTGCAAGAAAAGTAGCAAATTATATTATGAAAAAAATTGTGTGGGAATTATTAACATGAGGGTAAATCAAAATAGGTTCAGCATTATCGAAGAGATCACGTAACATAGAGATAAAAAATACAGGAGAATTCAAAACGTATATCTTTTTATTAGAAAGGGATGAAAATAATCGAAGTATTTATATAAACATTTTACAAGTTTTGATATAGTCCATAAAATTTTAGAAGCTTTGATATAGTCCACTAATATTACTGTTGTGTTCAAGATTACTATGACTGTGAAATTTTTACCCTACTAAATACAAAAAACATCGACTATTAAAGTATGTACCTAGAAAAAATACAGACAAATGGTGAAACCAAACTTTTTCTCTTTTCTCTCTCGTGAATGTCGTAAGAAGCGACTAAAAGAACTTAATGGTCGCACGATGAGCAGCAGCGTTCATACTTAAAACATTACCAAAGCTGACGGTGATTGCCAATCGGCCTGCCAAATTTGGCAACTACTGGCAGCCCCCTTTCACACCCTCCTCTATAGAGAAAGGCCTATCTTCAGCAGGGGCCAATATGATGACAATTATTAGTCTTTTAAAATCATTTAAAAATAAGCTGCGTACATATTCCTATTAATTCGAGGCGCACTAATGACTCATTAGTCACCCAATCGTCATTAAAAGTTCATCAATTAATTAAACCGAATATTCTAGATAAAGACAAAGATTACTTCACGTCACGTCGACATTTACAACGGCATTTTGTTTCATACGAGCATCATGGCAGCCATTAAAAATCACTCAACATGCCAAATTACCCTTAAATGTAATTAGCAGTGTAATTAAAAGCAAATGTCGCACCACCTTACCTGTAACGTTTAACTGCTCACAAATTGCGATATAAAATTTATTATAAAAAATAAGAATACAAAAAAATATTTAAATTTAGAATTCTTTTTGTAATTTTTTTTTTATACCACTGAGGTGGCAAACAAGCATACGGCCCACCTGATGGTAAGCGGTTACCGTAGCCTATGAACGCCTGCAAATTGTCATAGATATAGAGCATATATTAAGAATAGTTAGAGATAGTCATGCAGGTTCTATCTAGTGATAGGGTGCAACAGTTACAGTAAGAGCGTTTATAAAGCATAGGTTAAGTAAAATATTTGTACCTACCTAAGGTGATGCCCATTCTCTTTCTACTTATCATTTATCATAGTATTGTTCTTAGAGTGTAACAAAGTTAGAATCTAGAAAGGTATCTGTCATTTTTCAAAAATATTGGAACTATTTTAATATTTTTGATAGACTGTTTAAAAAGCCATATAGGTCCCGGCATAAAATGGATCACCCTTTCCTTTTCCGTGTATATCGTAAGAGGCGATTAAGGAGCAGTGAAGTGGACAGTTAAGGGCATTTTAGCCCTTAACTATTAGGCTATCAGTTTTGATCAGGTGGGCCGTCACCTTGTTTGCCATTCTAAGTTGCATAAAAAAGGTACTTAAATAACAAAGTTCTTAAAAAGAGTTTTGAAATTGTTAAGTCTATTTATGTTGGATTAAATATTCCTCGCGATTTCATTCACGTGATCAAGATATCTTCACTGACTGACTTAAAAAATATATCTATGTTCTTCTCCATACTATTTAGATCATGTATGTAAATAAAATTTCATAATGATTGGTTAAGCCGTTACGGTGCTTAAAGATGACAAACAAACTCATTTTCATAATTATAATATTAGAAAGGACAATAAGGGTTCAGTGGTTTCCATATAGTTACTTTTTGG